TGAAGCGACGCAATGCACTTATTCTCCTCCACAGAGCGGAATTTTCCTAACCTGTAAACTGATCTACATCATCAACGTGCGCCGGCGTAACGACCCAACTATAACCTGGCCCAACAATTCGAACTCGCTAATGCCGTTCATATCTTTGTTGAATTCTCCCCCACCGCGCGCGCCGTGCCCTCTGGCGTGTCGCGTGCTGTTCATGTCACCAGTACGCCTCGTTTCCGCGTTGTCGTACTTCTGCCTTGCTTGCGCCTGGTGTTTACACACTCAGCGTTTCCACGCGTCGCCTGGCCACGACCTCCTCGGAGGTCGTGCGCCTGTCTTGGTGTTTCAGTGTGACTTGCATCATCCGCAAGGCGTTCCTTCACTATCTTCATTGCTACTGGGCACACGTCTCCAGCGTTGGCATTTCGTCAGTCCTGGTAGATGCACCGCAATTCGGGAGCACTGCACTCAAACGTGGCCGCTGCAGAGCGTATATGCAGGCTGCAACAGGAGCGCACCAGTCGGTAGCTGCCGTTACGAAGTTCGTATGGTCGTGGCGTCCGCGAATAGTTATGGCAGCGCGATGGGGGCGGCTGAACCTAATCGCGAGGGCCATGGTCTGTGTGCTTTGTCTCTAACTTGTCTCTTTGAGCACGTGCTTCCTACCGTAACATTCACGAAGGAACAATTGCGACCCTTGCCCTCTGCAACTAGCTTCGACTAAATGGCTCACTTCTGGAGCTTATTTCCGAGGCCCTCTGCTACTTTATACTGGGAGTGCAGTCAGCCATCCGAACGGTAGAAGTGCTCATCTGCAGAAGATTCACCTGTTCTTAAGTTCACGCCAGGAGTTCATAGACTATATAATATTTTAGCTAAGCGAACGCATGAGGAAGAATTTTTACTCTTTTCTTTATTCAGCTTCTATACAAAACACTTCTAGGTGAGAGAAACGGGATCAAGTTTCAGCGGCAGTCCTGTGCTGGTAGCATTGGCTCAAGGCTGTTCGCCTTGCTGTGCAGCACCCGCTACGGTAGCTCATAGGCTAAGGTCGGGCGCTGTTGATATCGAGGACGCACCATGAATTTCAAATGAAAGCCGCTCAACTTCGGCTCAAGCGACTGGCTGTGACCTGTGAACTCAGATTTAGGTGCGCAGTAAAGAACCTCAGCTGGTCACACCTAATCTGGAGCTCTGGAGTGCCCCACTACCGTGTGGTTCATGTAAAAGCTTCGTTTTCGTTCATAAAAGCACGGAATTCATTTTGTCGATGTTATCAGAGTGCGACTCATTTATTTCCATATTACCTGGCAAGAACAACTTTTTGGAATGCGTAGTGCCCCCACAAATTAATTTTGTACTCCCCCCCCCCCCCCCACCCTCACCACCACGTCCACCGCCACCATTTCAAACCGTTCGGTTCTCATTCATACATTCAAGCATAATGGCGAGTTAAGAAGTCGTACCTTCTGTGAGGACGCGTCGTCAGTGGTGGTCACCCGCTGGTGAGCGTAATGTTCGTCTGCCCTTAGCGCACCTATGTTCGGCTTCTGTATGGCGAGCCTTTCTGCAGACGCCAACTTTGCAGCCACTTGTACGTCCGCCGGTGTATGACTGTTCTCGGAGTCTGCAATGTTATTCAGAAAAGCGTTTTCGAAGATATCATTTAGGTTATCGTGCAAAGGTATCTCCTTGCCACGTGACATGCCCGATAACTCCATACGTGCAATGGTGTCATTAGTGATGACAATAGTATTCCTATGCACTTGGGGCGGAAAATAACAGAAACTTTAAGCGAACACCGCAACCTTTCATATCATATTGTATGTAATATGCCTAATTAAGCAGACCTTGTGTTTTTCCATTTATGTGTACACCGAAATTAAACTATTTCAGAACTTCGAAATTTTATCATTCTAATCCCTTATTTAAGGTTATGCTTTTAGGAAAGGAGACTACAGAAGCAGAAGGCATACGCATACCAGTAGCCTACAGTCTCAAGTGGCACTCAAAGGACATTCGCAAGGAAAGCACAAATGCACCAATTATTGTTCATGTATTGTCTGGCTTCCCACTTTGACAAATAAAATAGCTTTTTGGTGTGAGTCGCAGTCTATGCCACTATGCCGTTGAGCACGAGGACGTGGGGTCTTCTTTCCACCCATGACTGTATTCTGACACACGCCAACCTTTTACTTGCCAATGTTCCAAAATTGGAACATACGAAACCTAATTTTTTTATTTCCTCTCCAATATATCGCATATTAAAATTTTATGTTTACGCATACTCATTGATGCTTGTGAAAAACGTAGCAGTTTCAATTTCTATTATGAACCTGCGGAGAATCATTAGATAAAGTTTAAAAAACAGGCATATTTTGCGCTCCTTGACCACCAGATGTTGGTTGCATTATTCCGCCGGAAAAAGTAATGTTGCAGTGAGCAAAGCAGAACTAAAATATCGGCAAATAGTTCGGGATTACGCGGCAATACAATAAAAAAATAACAAAGACAATCTAGTTTTCAGCTTGAGAGCTTTGTGTGGATGTTCCTTTTTTGGAACATTGGCGTTTCACAGCGTCAAACGCAGCGTAGACGAGCGCGAGCGTTTCGCCTTGTTCTTTTTCTTGTTTTGCCTTGTCGATGGCGCCCGCTGGGCGGCGTTTGGCATAAACTTGAACATGAGCTTTCCTGGGCGTCATTTTGAGTTTGCCAGACACGTGTAAAGAGCAGAATTGAACTACAGTGCCTATAGCTGCATCAATCCCTGTGAATGTAAGTAGAAAACTACCTTGCGGCTGGTTTTACTTTTGTAGTACTGTGCTTTACACCGCAATAACTTTCGTTGTAGGTCATGGCACAACGCTTCCTGACTTTGGAGGCAGCAATTGACCTTTTGTTCAGCCTTCCCGATGACGAACGCGAAAGTGCGTCTGTATGCCAATTGCTACCTGTTGAAGATGGCAATATTACTGACAAGGAGCAGGTGAACGAAAACGACTTTTCTGAAGTTGTTTCTGATGATGTTTGTGAGCATGTTGAAGTTATGCAGTGCAGGGATGAAGACGTTGATTCGCCTTCTGCATGTTCGAGTCCTGAGCCACGACGAAAGAAACCAGCGGGGCGGCAATTCACTGCTGGAAAAGGACGCAAAGCTTCAACGAACGCTCGGAAAACAAATACTCCAAAGCACTCCCATACACCTGTATGGGGTGACCATGCCACGTTTGACAAAACACTTACTAGCGAGAGTCCTCCGTTATTGCTAGAGGCATTTCCTGATCTTGCAAACATGAGCCCATTTATGCTGTTCAGCAAATTTATTTCTCCGTAGTATCTTGGTTCACTGGCTGAACCAACTGCAAGATACGCACTCCAAAAGAGGGAGGAGGTGGACGTCACAGGAGTGGACATAGGTCAGTTTTTCGGCATCCTACTTTTCAGCTCGTACCACTTCGTTCCGTCTGAGGACTCGTATAGGAGCACTGCAGAATATCTTTGTGTGCCTATAGTCGCGACAGTGATGGCCCGCAATAGGTTCCGGCAGCTGAAAAGGTTCTTTCATGTTGTTGACAACACTCAGTTGAAAGGAGGCGAGAAAATGGGCAGACTTCAGCCGTTTTACGACGAAATCTCTAAATTTTTCCGCCAGTTTGGAGTGTTCAAAGAAAGGCTCAGCATTGACGAGTCAATGGTGCCCTATTATGGCCACCACTCGCGCAAAATATTCATTCGCGGTAAACCATTTCGATTTGGGTACAAAATATGGATGATGCGCTCTTCGAAGGGGTACCCCTATGTGATGGAAATATATTGTGAGAAGAACGAGAAGGATGACAAGACACCTCTCGGGACCAGGGTTGTTAGCAATATGATATCGGTCCTGGAAGCGCCTGAACATCACGAAGTCTACTTTGACAACTTCACTTCTCACGGCCTCTTGACGAAACTGGCTGACAAGGGGATTCGAGCGACAGGGGATGTGCGAGATACAAGAACCGGTGGTGTTCCACTGAAGAGCTTGAAAAACATCGAAAAGGAAGAAAAAGGATCTTTCCACTACAAGTGTGACGGGGCAGTCTGCGCATGCAGGTGGAATGACAATGAAGTCGTCACAGTTTCTTCTAACCACCTCAGCCACGAGCCTGTTGGAAGTGCAAAACGCTTCCCACGACGCTCAAACAAAAAGGTGGACATTCCTCAACCATAATTGATCAGAAAATACAATGAGGGCAGGGGCGGAGTAGATGTGATGGACCGCCTCCTCGGAAGCTATCGACCGAGACTGAGGAGCAAGAAATGGTAGTGGAACCTTTCCAGCAATGGTTTGAACATGGCTGTCGTCGCAGGATGGCTCTTCCACTGCGAGCTTCACGAGGGTAGTGATGCTGCCATGACGCACATCGACTTTCGGCGGGACGTCACCATGTCCTTGCTGCAGCTCAAGCAGAAACACACTGTAAGACCTGAACCCCGGGTTCATCCGAGACATGAGGACAGAAAATCTGATGGCCACTACATCATCTAAACGACTCGGGGAAGATGCGCGGAATGCAAGAAAAATAACAGAATCAGTGCCAGGAGTGCAAAAAGCGGCTGCACTGTAGAGGTCGCCACCCTTCAGTCATTTAGTTCGGCTGCCACTAGCATGTGGCGCCCCTGAGATTGTATATATTCTGCCCCGAATAAAGTGGGGGGGCCTTTTTCGTTAGCTGAGCAGCTGTTGTGCGTATCGTCTCTTTCCGCGGGCACGGGCCGCTCGTGCTCCGGCACGCTCGCGCGGGACCGTTCACGAGACATGGTGTCAGAAGTGGCTGCGTAACGCCCCCTCATCGCGAACTCGCCCGTACCGCACGACGATGGCCCTCGACGGAGTGGCACCGAAAAAGCTCAGCCTCAACCTCCAGCCGCCCGCACCGTTCGACTTTGTGAACCCGGGAACCTAGCCAGCATGGCTCAGCCGCTACGAGGACTACGCTGTCGTTTCCGGCCTGACTCAAGCATCCGGCGACATGCAGGTACGCTCGTTGTTGTACTGCATGGGGCCGGAGGCCCGCCCACTTCTTGAGACGTTCTCGCTCGACACCGCATCACTCGCCTCATTTCAAGCGGTTGCCGCCAGCTTCACCGACCACTTCGTGCATCCGGCGAATGAACTGTACGAGTCGTCGCGTTTTCACCGGCGTGTTCAGTTACCCGATGAGAGCGTCGACGCCTACTACGCCGAACTGTGTAGAATGGTGAAGCGGTGCAACTATCCGTCAGCTGAGGTCGAGCAAAGGCTTGTACGCGATAGATTTGTCGTCGGCCTCCGCGACTCGCGCCTTTCGGACCAGCTTTGCCGGAACGCGAAGTTGACGCTCATAGAAGCATGGATGCAGGCCCGTCAATCAGAAGACGCCGACAAAGAAAAAACGTTGCCTAAAAACTGCGCAGAGCACTCCCGCGAGCTACACCTCGACGCCGTACGAGATAAGAAGTTCGCCTCTCGCCGCCGCAACCACGATAAGCGGCCTTCGCCCCCGCGGAAAGCAGAACGCTCCTGCCAGCCGTCAACATGTGAATTCTGCGGCCGCGCGCCACATCCACGTTCTAACTGCCCTGCTCGAAACTCCGTCTGCAACTTCTGCAAAAAGAAAGGACACTTTGCAGAAGTGTGCCGTGCGCGGCAGGCAAAACAGAAGCTCGGCTGCATTCAGCTACACGCTGTCGGGACGCTCGCCGCGGCGAAGTTCGTCGACATCACTGTTGACAACTACACAGCGCAGTTCAAGGTCGATTCCGGAGCCGAGGTGTCCGCCGTTCTGAGCGACTTCCCTGCATTGCCGGCCAAGCTCGACCCCGTCAACAGCCTGCTCAGCGGATCTGGCGGTCAGCCGCTGCGCGTGCTGGGTTCGTACATGGCGAGACTTCGGTGGCACGGGAAATTGAGCTCTCAGCGCTTGTACGTGATCCAGTCTCTCACCGTACCTCTTCTTGGACTGCCGGCGCTTCAAGCTCTGGAAGTTGTAAAGTTTCTCGACGAACTTCAGACTCCGAAAGCAACATTGCGTGCTGAGCTCTTCCAGGGATTGGGCACCCTCAAGGACGAGTACACTATCCTTCTGAGACCTGGCACTGCACCCTTCTCCCTAAGCGTGCTTCGCAGGATTCCCATCCCGCTACTCGGGGTCGTCCGTCACGAACTTGGCAAACTGAAGGAAGGAGGCGTGATCCGCAGGGTTGACAACCCAACCCCGTGGTGCTCTGGCCTCGTTGTAGTACGGAAAGCCGATGGTTCCTACCGGCTGTGCGTTGGCTTGACTCAGCTGAACAAGGTTGTCTTTCGGGAACGCTACATCCTACCAACGGTAGAGCAAGTCCTTGGCCTCTTTGGCGACGCAACAATTTTCTCCAAGCTAGATGCAACAGCCAGTTTTCATCAGGTTAAACTATCTGCAGACTCCGAAGAGCTCACAATGTTCATCACCCCATTTGGCTGATACTGCTTCTGCCGGCTCCCCTTTCGCATCACCTCCGCGCCGGAGTACTTCCAAAAACAGATGGCCAGGATCCTGGAGGGCCAGGAAGGAGTTGCCAATATGATAGACGACATTCTGGTCTTTGGGCGCACCCGCGAGGAGCACGATGCCAGACTGAACCAGGTGCTGTCTCGCCTTGCAAAAGCAGGCACCACGTTGAACGAAGACAAGTGTCGTTTTGGTGTCTCCGAAGTCTCCTTCCTAGGAGTCATCGTTTCAGCACAAGGCATCAGGCCAAGTCCAGACAAGGTCGAAGCAATCGAAGCCATGGAGGCTCCAACCGACATCGCAGGTGTCCGGCGACTGCTCGGAATGGTGAACCATCTTGCCCGGTTTTTCCCTAGCATCTCAGAGGTCACAGCTCCCATCAGAGCACTTCTAAACAAGTCTGCGACTTGGGTGTGGCAGCAGGAACAAAATGCTGCCTTCGAGAAAATCAAGGAACTCCTGACATCAGACCGTTGCATGGCCAAGTACCATCCATCATATGCCACCACAGTTTCGGCTGACGCAAGCTCATTCGGACTGGGCGCAGTCTTGCTGCAGACACAGCCCTCTGGAGAGCGCCGCCCAGTTGCGTTTGCTTCGAGATCAATGACCAAAACAGAGCAGCGGTACAGCCAGACAGAAAAGGAAGCGTTGGCAACAACATGGGCTATCCAACGGTTTGACGAATTCGTCCGTGGCATGACCTTTGATTTTGAGACAGATCACCTACCACTCGTTTCTCTCTTCGGCAAGATGGAGCTGGACATGCTGCCGCCTCGCATACAGAGGCTCAGGTTAAAGACCATGCGATACCAGTTCCGAATGCTCCACGTGCCAGGAAAGCTGTTAGCTACGGCAGATACCTTGTCACGCATCACCCAAAAAGGCGTCCCTCCCCCTGGACACCGTGGAATTGTTTGTAGCTCAAGTGGTCAGCGGCATGTCAGAAGCCTTGTCACTAAGCCCAGAGGACGTGCGACAAGCACAAGAGTCCGATGGCGAATGCAGAGCCCTCACCTCCTTCTGCCAGAATGGTTGGCCACAGAAGTCCAAACTGCCACTGCACCTCTCCCAGTATGCCTCAGCCGCAGATGAGCTCTCTGTCTGCGACGGTGTTCTACTGAAAGGCGCCAGGATGAAAGGCGCCAGAATGCGTCATCCCGCATTCTCTTCGGCCGGCTGTTTTGACGCTGTTGCACGAAGGACACCAAGGCATCAACAGGACGAAAGCTCTCGCTCGAGAGTCCATTTGGTGGCCTGGCATTTCGGCAGACATTACCTTTCTGGTAACTAACTGCGAGCAATGTGCTTCCACTCGGGTGAACCTTGCAGAGCCCCTGGTCTCCACGATCCTACCTCGACGTCCCTGGGAACTTGTCGGCATGGACCTGTTCCACCTCCGCAGCCAGACATTCATCTTGGTGGTGCACTACCACTCCAGGTACCCTGAAGTTGTAACCTTGAGGAGCACAATGGCTCAGGCAGTCATCGACGTTCCCAAAAGCATCTTTGCCCGGCATGGGATTCCGCGAGAAGTCAGATCAGACAACGGTCCACCGTTCTCTTCACTTGAGTTTGCAGCATTGGCGGCATTTTACGGCTTTGACCACGTCACCAGCAGCACGCACTATGCGCAACCGAACGGAGAGGCGGAGAGAATGGTCAGGACCATCAAGGAGTTGTTTCGCAAAGCAACAGACTCTCATCTGGCCTTGCTCAGCTACCGGGACACCCCCGGAGTCGATGGCTTCAGCCCGGCCCAGCTCTTGATGGGAAGACAACTCCGAACCAAAGTGCCGAAACAGGATTCCCAGTTATGTCCTCACTGGCCGTCGAGGAAAGACGTGAGGAGAAAAGATGCAGCCTACAAGCAGAAACAGGCCGCTGACTTTAACAGGCATCACAGAGCTCAAGGTCTGTCATCGCTCCGAACAGGCCAGTGTGTCTGGGTACGACCTGATCAGGTCAAAGCTACAGTGCTTAGCCCAGCACGCCGACCACGAAGTTATGTCGTGGAAACGGAGCAGGGTGGCGTCCTACAACGCAACCGGCGTCACCTAGTGCCTTTTGCACCTCCTGCGCCAAGGGTGGAACCACCGCCGTCTGAGGAGCAGGAGCCACAGCGAACACTGTCCCCTCTCCCAGTATGCCTCAGCAGCAGATGAGCTCTCTGTCTGCGACGGTGTTCTACTGAAAGGCGCCAGGATGGTCATCCCGCATTCTCTTCGGCCGGCTGTTTTGACGCTGTTGCACGAAGGACACCAAGGCATCAACCGGACGAAAGTTCTCGCTCGAGAGTCCATTTGGTGGCCTGGTATTTCAGCAGACATGCCTTTCTGGTAACTAACTGCGAGCAATGTGCTTCCACTCGGGTGAACCTTGCAGAGCCCCTGGTCTCCACGGTCTTACCTGGACGTCCCTGGGAACTTGTCGGCATGGACCTGTTCCACCTCCGCAGCCAGACATTCATCTTGGCAGTGGACTACCACTCCAGGTACCTAGTGCTTTGCCGAAAAGAAAGGCTTTGCCGCTTACCACGGTTTGTGATTTGGTCACTGTAGTACAGCCAGTAGTATGAAAGAAGAAATTTTCAGAAAGTGTTGTTATAAATATTTATACTTTTCAGAGACATTGTATGACGCTAAATATTATTCTTCAGTTATCCTGAATAAGGAAACCCGACTGAAAAGTCAATAAAAGTTGTTCCAGAGAAAATGTGTGTTTTGCATATAAGAAATGCCAATGTTCCAAAAATGAAACATGCGAAAAAACATGGTTAGATATTGTGAATGTGGCTGTATTTTTGATCATAGTTAATTTAGAAGGCCAATGCAAATTATCAACATAAATTATAGTTTTTTTTCCTACTGCTTCATAGTGCGGCATTTAAAAGGTTAAGAAGCACCTAATGCAACTGCCTCGTAGGCCGATAAGTACGAGCTATTCTGTGCAAATGAGATGTCTTGCCTTTTGTATGCTCATTCTCCTCTTATGTTATCCTCCCACAAAATATCAAGAACAAATGTTCATCTGCACCTCACTATATCACGAACCGAAAAGCAACGTTACTGGGCGAACAAGAAACTTGAAAATGGCGCTTTGCTGGCACCTAGCAGCCACCTCCCCTGCTCAATGTATGGCCTGATGCCATAATTCCAGGGCTGAAGACACAAAGCACATTTTTCCTCACCTCGAGTGAGGGGGTTCTTAAATCAGACAGGAATTGGGCAAGAGGGTAATCTTCACTGCAGTCACATATATGAGCGAGGAATGGGGCAGAGCCACACTTTGAACAGTGCAGTATGAAAACATGAGGTTAACAGTGCGAAAATAACACATGGCCATAGGCGGAAAATGGATAGGTCATCCCAATCCCTTATGTATTGTGTCCGTGCGTTATTTTTGCGATGTTAGCCTTAAGTGTGCACAGCCAACTAGTCCAGTTAGCTAGTTTATTTGGTTTAAAAGATCGCAACAAATATCTTTGTACACCAGAAGTAACGAAGAAGGGCGTGTTTGAAAACAACGCCACATTATCTATTCTACTTTGCTGAGTTTGGGGCCTGGATGCGTGGTTCTGGATTCAAGTTCGAAGCGTTAACAGTGGGCGTGACCGCTTGCGCCCTAGATTAACAGGAATCAGCAGATGGCTCCCTTCTTTGTAGTGATCTTAATTGATATGTGGGGTTTAACGTCCCAAAACCACCATATGATTTTTGTAGTGTTCTTAACGCTCAGTTTGTGTCTGAGAGGTAGACGGGACGAAGGTAGTTTTACTCATTGTAACCAACGTGTTTCCTTACACCAGCATTTTATTGAGTTAGGAAAGTTTGCAGAGTGAACTATCGACGATCTCCCCGAAGGGAACCCTGATTAGATGCAAAGCAGCAGCGGTGCGCACGGCGTTGTCCCGGTTGAAACGGGCGTCGACGTGGGGGCTAAAACAGTGGTTTCAAGTGAAACTCCGTGTAGCGTTTACTCGAGCAAACGTTTGTTTGAAACGCAAAGACGCGGGAGGCGGGGCGTATTGACGAAGCTTGCGTTCGGCTTTCTTGTTTCGCGTCTCGTCGGTGTTACCCGCGTGCCATATGTATTCTCGAACGCGATTGGTGTTTTTGACTCGCACCTCGTCGGTGTTGCTGGTCTTCCCCTGCCGACGCTTGTGTTTGGATGCCCTGGCTCGTGCCTTGTTATTGTTGGCGTCGCTATTTGCGAACGCGATCAGCTTCGCTAGCCCTCGCAACGCCAGCAACAGCCGGGAAAGGTACGCGCACACTAGCGGGAAGCATGCCACGACGACGTTCCACCCATCGGCGCGATCGCGCAGCGAACAGCGTGCGCAGTCGACATTATCGGCACCACGGCATTCTCGAATCCCGCGCAGCATGTGCACCCGCCGCTTCGTGGCTTCTCGCCGACAAAGGGAGAGAGGTGGCGTGGGTGAGAGGGTGCACAGGGGAGGCGTAGGCTTGAGGGTTGAGAGCAGCGGAGAAGGTGAAGCGACAGAGAGCAGACACGCGGCGTGCACGCGGCAGGAGAGTGAGAGAGATGTCACAGCGCACTTATAGGAGAACGTGAGCAACTTGGCACCACTCCAATGCCTGTGGCGAGGGGAGCGGTGCGGACGAAGGGACAGCATTACACAGGCTAGTCAAAGAGCTGCTTCGGCTTCAAGAATACTTGGGTGATCGCCTAACTTCGTATAACAGTACTCTTCATGGTGGTCAAGTGGCTAAGGCACTCGGTTGCTGACCCGTAGGTCACGGGATCGAATCTTGGTTGTGGCGGTCGCATTTTCGATGGAGGCGAAAATGCTGTAGGCCTGTGTGTTCAGATTTGGCCGTCCGTTAAAGAACGCCAGGTGGTCGAAATTTCCGGAGTCTTCAATACGGTGTCAGTTATAGTCATATGGTGCTTTGGGGACGTTAAATTATGATTACTGTTACTTGGTGTAACATTCCAATTCGTTTCAGCCATTACCTCTTCCTTTCAGCTGCTGTGTCTTTTTTGTGAGGTTTGATCTACAAACGAAAGTATGGACGTTCACTCACGACATTAGGTATAGAAGCGCGGAGCTCATTGTCATGATTTAAAAGGCGACGCCAGAGGTGGAATTACAGGGGTTCAAACTGCATTCTGGTACCCTTCGTATAACCTACGGTGCTAATAATAAAGTTTACCAAGTGTTAAAGCAGTGGTAATATACAGGTATATCTAGATTTACAACCAGCTTTAACAAACACTTGAGCTGACATGTATATAAATCTTACTGTACGTGCTTAAGCCCCTCTGTTCTTCGGTCTTGTACGAAACGGCTTTCAGCTCTCCTATAGTAGTGAAGCGACTACTCTAAATCGTTACCTCTTTTTTCTAAACACAGCATCATTGGGCGTGCGAGGAAAACGCTCCTAACCTCCTTGGTTTTAGCGGGACAGCCCAGTGCTCTCCCATAGATGACTACGAAGCACTTGAAATCGCTAAACATTTTTCTTAAACAATAGAGTTCCAAGTACTCCAAATCGTGAATAGCTTTTTTGGACAAAGTTTCTTACGCGGGGCGTGCGGGGGCGTGCGTCCCCGATGTATGTAGTAGTAGAAGTAGAAGAAGTAGTATGTACCCACCTCTCGTTTAGTCCTTGAAATGTCCGCTGGATGGCGGTACTTCTCTATTATAAATATACTATACGATGGAACGCGTTTATTTACAAGATGGGTACTGCAGAGGTATAGCTCAGCGAAGGATCAACAGCGTCGCTCGCGAGCCAGTCCAGTCTCTTCCTCCTCTTCGTCGAATCTTCGCTAGCGCGTTTCACTTCCCGGTTCGCAGACGATGCCCCCTGGGCGAGTCACTCAGATGGTTGATGGTGGCATGGTTCAAGGCGCGCAATGTGTGTCAGTTGTGTTTTGCTAGAGCGGCGACCATTGCTTGTGACGCTCGAGATTACGTACGTGACGTCGCTGAGGCGTTCAAAAATGACGAATGGACCAGAATAGTGGGCCAAGAACTTCTGGCACAAACCACGTTTGCGGACTAGTGTCCATAACCACACAAGATCGCCCTTACTATAAGATACGGAGCGATAGCAGGCGTCGTAACGTTTCTTAGAACGCTGCTGGGATGCCAAGGTTCGGAGGCGTGCGATGCAACGGGCTTCTTCTGTGCGGCAGAGCGTCTCGGCTATCGAGGTTTCCACGTCAAGTGTAAAAGGTAGTATAGTGTCGAGACAAAATCGTGGGGAGCGAGCGTACAGCAGGTAAAATGGAGAGTAACCTGTAGTCTCATGCTTCGCGGTATTGTACGCGTACGTGATGTAAGGTAGCACTTCGTCTCAGTTTTTGTGCTTGGAATCGACTTAAATAGACAGCATGTTCGTGAGAGTCCAGTTCGTGCGCTCTACGAGACCATTTGTCTGCGGGTGATATGGTGTGGCATGGCGGAAATGACAGGCAGACAAACGCAGGATCTCTTCAACGACGTCGGCAACGAACTGACGTCCGTGGTCGCTAATGACAACGCGTGGAGGACCATGGCGGAGAATTATACAGCGAAGCATAAACTGCGACACGTGCATGGCCGTTGCAGCCGGTATTGCAGCAGTTTCTGCGTAGCGCGTTAGGTGGTCAACACAGACGACGACCCATCGATTGTTACTGCTCGATCGTGGAAATGGACCAAGCAGATCGATACCAACAGTCTCGAAGGGAGAGTTAGGAGGTGGAACAGGATGGAGAAGTCCTGGCGGCTTAGCCGTGGCACGTTTGTGTCGTTGGCATTGTTCGCATCCAGCAACGTATTTTTCCGTGTCGTGTCGCATCTTGGGCCAATAGAACCTTTGCTGGATTTGTTGAAGCGTTCTGGCGAAGCCCATGTGGCCGCAGGTTGCGTCGTCGTGTAAAGACCGAAAGACGTGAGCCCGTAAAGTGCGTGGAACAACTAGAAGCAGACGGGCGCCTTGTCCGGAATAATTCTTCTTGTGAAGGACGCCGTCATGAACCACAAAAGAGCTTGGGGTTGCGTGTTCATTTGCGGAGGCGAACAGAGAATCTAAGGAGCGGTCCTCTTGTTGGGCTGCCCGGAAAGTCGCGAGATCAGGGAACTCAGAGGCAATAGCGCCGATATACTGGTCGAAGTTGTCAGCGTCGCACTCAGTCGTCGGTAGAGGAA